GGGATGGGGGAGGGGAAGGAATCTGGGCCCTGTGCGGGGATGCCTGCAGGGGGGGCAGCTCTAGCTCCTGCCCCTATGCTTGGGTGCTGTGTGCTCCCCCCCTCCCAGCCAGCATGGATGAGGGATGGCCTGTTAGGGTATGGGGGGGTGAACAGAGCTCCCCCATAGCATAGCAGAAGGAGTCCAGCCCGTGGTGCCCCCTGGGTGCTGCCCCTCCTGCGCCTGCCCAGACACTGCTGTCATGAGCCCTCTGGACCTCTGCACCTCAAGGTGCCTGCCTGTGTCTCCCCCTTCCCCCGTGTTTAACCCCTGCGGTAGGGGTTTCCCCTGGACCTGGCGTCACCTGGGTCCCCCCTGGCCTCTCCCATTACCCTAGGGAGCACCCTCATCCCAACAGGCAGCGGCAACCAAGAGCTCCGCAAAAGGTGCCGGGGCCAGGCTCAGAGCCCCATCCCCTGTCCTCCTCCAGGCTTTTTTGCAGCTCTAGGCCAGGTTTGGGCCAGGCCAGGTGATTTTCTGTCCCCGTGGGTGGCACTGTGCCACTCGTGGCATGGAGACCCTCCAGAGAGATGGGCGATAGCCCCAGAAAATGCCAAAGCTTCCTTTTTATCGGGTCTTCTAGTTCAAAAGTAGATATTCCTGGGGATATGAGAGCTGTACCTGGCAGTGTTTTGAAAAAAACAGCTATTGTAGCCACTGCAATCTTGGCTTTTTAAAATTCTGTTTTTAAGAAAAGAGTCTTTATGGAGTGATGCTCCCATGGAGGCCTTGATGTCTCTAAACAACAGGCTGGAAAAATCGAGTGCCTGCAGCCCTAAAAGCACAAGTTTTATAAATAAATTCCTCCCTGGCCTCCGGCGGATTAATCAGGCAGGGCGTGTTCCCGGGGCGTAATCCGAATGGTGAATTGCTGAAAATCCTTGGAGTGAAATGGCAGAGATTTTGCAAGGCAATTTTTTTTTTCATTTTTTGGGGGGCTAAAAATAGATGCAGGAAAAATTATTTTTAAAATAGAAGAGAGGTTGGTGGGTGACTTCGCTCTTGGCATCCTCCCAGTGAAAGGGGGTGCCCAGTGCCTGGCCAAAAATGTTATCAACGGCTGGGCTTTTTCCTGAAGAGCTTCATTAGCTTGCACAAGTGCTTTGCTTTTGGTTTTTTCTTGAGCCTAAGGCTGTAAACGGCCCCATTTTGGCCGTCTCAGAGGGTGTAGCGTTACCTCACGCTGCGTCCTTTGGCTTTAATTCCCACAAAAAGCAGCTTTCAAGGGCAAGAAAGAGCGGTCCAAAAAAACCCGCCAGTGCTTAGAAATGAAATGTGGTCAGTTGCCAGGAGAAGGGGCGGAGGGGGGAATGTCAATAATAAATGTTGTCATCTCCTGCACTGTAGCCCTTTGCAGAGGGTGGTACCAAGCTTGCAGGTGTAAATCCATGAAGAAATCTGCTTTTAATTAACAAAAGTATTTAACTTACCAAGATCAATTAATCATTAATCATCCAGTTTGGGGAGTTGAATCATGCTACTAAACCACATCAGTTAGACTGGTGTTGAGTTGTGCTTTCGCAGCAAGTTGTCTGACATCTCTGAAATTTTTATTTGCTTTATGTTCCCTGTACGTGAGTTTGCTTTTTGCAGATGTTTTTGCCGAGTGTCTTATGAGCTCCTGCCCAAAAAAGGAGGGACCCCACTCAAAGAGCAGATGGGGGCTTGCTCCAGGCTCTAAACTCTTTAGGAACCTGCAGAAACCTGAAGTTCCCACTTCAGGAATGGGGTTTGGCTGCTTTCCTGCCACTGCTTTAGGCAGTCAAAAACTCTGCCTCCCCTTTCTAGCAGGGGCTTGGTCATTTGATGCCCGCCAGCTCCGCCTGCTCCCTGTTACCTGTGGAGCTTGGGGGATCCCATTAGTTTCTCCCCATCTCCACTGTGTGTGGTTAACGAGTTGGCACCCCCTGTGAGAGGTTCTGGTGGGGAACTGCTGGTTCCCCAAATGTAGTTTTCCCGTCTCTGAGCAGTGTGGTGCTCACCCTGTGTTGTAAAACGAGAAGGATCGGCCTCGTCCAGCCTGGAGGGGCTGCAACACCCCAAGCCCTATTTCAACTCTCGGCCTCTGCTTTGTGGGCTGCATTTCCTGTTGGCACAGCATCAGGGTCTTCTCTTGCTGCTTTTCAGGGGCAACACCAGGGTGGAGGAAGCCTGCGAAATGTACACCAGGGCTGCCAACATGTTCAAGATCGCCAAAAACTGGAGCGGTGAGTACAGCCCCACCCCCCACCTCAAGCATCTTCCTGTAAATTGAGCATCTTCCTGCAAATTATCACAGCAGAGATTTACATCCCAGGCTGTTTCCATGGGGATGGTCCCTATGGCAATGCGATTCCTCTTCTCTGTCCTGCCCTGTGGTGGTTTAAATATTGGGAGTGTGGGCAAAAGGGGGTGACCTGAATGTTCCTGAAGTTAAATTAGCCTGGGTGCTGTTTACCATTTTCAAATGAAAGCTTGTAATTCTGTAGGGAAGCCTGCTAAAGACAAGCACTGCCTGGCCACAAACAATTTGGGGTTGCTGGATCTCTAAACCTCTCCGGGTCCTCAGAGCGACGCATGCTTCGCCGTTTTTGCGACGATGCTGCTCGTTAGGAGGTTGGTGGGGTACATGGGGTTGGTGTGCTCTTCTCTCCCAGCTGCAGGAAACGCGTTTTGTCAGGCGGCCAAGCTGCACATGCAGCTGCAGAGCAAACACGACTCGGCCACCAGCTTCGTGGACGCCGGCAATGCCTACAAAAAAGCGGACCCACAAGGTAAGAGGAGGGAAATCTGGGATATAATTTTTTTTTGCAAAGCTGCTTAGTGGCAGAGGAGGTGTTGTGGTGCACTGCACCGCAGCAGCTTCCTTCCTGGTTTAGTGTGACTTTGGAGAAATACTCACTTTTTAAGGAATATTTAAGGCAGGTCTTGGGTCTGGATCGCAGTGGGATCCCTGCCCTTAGCCCCAGCTGCTTCCCAGGAGTTTCCCTGGGGTAGAGGCAAGGTGGGAGGAAAATGGACTGAACTCTGATGGGATGAAGATAAAGGATCTGGATTCTTTAAATCTGGTTGTAAAGAGCAGGGTTGTGGTTTTTGGGAAGGGCTCTGGTTTCCCTTACCCTGGATGTTTGGAAACACCAACCCACCCATCAGTATTATCTGTGCTTTCCTGTCCCAGGGGGCTGAAAAAAACAACTTGGGGCTGGTGCAACTGTCTGAGAGTTGTAAAACCCCCAAAATTCCTAGAAAACGGCAGGCCCTGTGTGTTTATGAGACCGGCACTTTGAGTTTTGCTCTGTTTGAGGATGTAGCCTGACAAACCTGGGCTACAATTTGGTTGTGTTTTGCCCATCCTCATTTTTGCCCGTTACCTTTCAGCATCTCTTTTTTTTTTTTTGCCTGGGTGAACCAGGAGGCTGTTGGGGGCGTGGGGATGTTCAGGCTGGGTGAATCAGGATTAGATCTGCAGATTCAAAAGTGTGGGGGTCTGAGGGGCTGAAAATCCTTCCAGGCATGCAGACATGGTGAGTAGATATTTATTGAAGAAACTGGTGCGTGGTCTGATGAGGAGAAAGGTTACTGAGATCTCATTTCTGGAGGTGGGGAGAACTTGGGCTGGGGAGTCTGATGTGCTGGCTGACTCTGTTGTTTTTCCTGAACACTCATGCTGCAGAGGCCATCAACTGCTTAAACGCAGCTATCGATATCTACACTGACATGGTAAGAAGCTGCGCTGGCAGCTCGTGGACCCATGTGCTTGTAAAAAGATGCAGCTCGGTAAATGTGGGGGCAGAAAGGGAGCCCCCATCTCACACGCAATCTCTGCCTTCTCTAGGGGCGATTCACGATTGCTGCCAAGCACCACATCACCATCGCGGAGATCTACGAGGCTGAGCTGGTGGATATTGAAAAGGTGAGGATCCCGGGTGCTGCATTTCCTTCCCCGGCCAGAGCAGTGCTGAGCTCAGCACGGCAGATAAAACCCATCTCCCATCCGGCACTGGTCTGCTTTACAAATCTCCTGTAACTTGAAGTTGACGTAATGGGGTGAGAGATGATTTTCCCAGCCTGGGTCTCTGGTGGGGCAATCCTGACTCTTGTGTGTGCTCCCCTGCTGAGCCACAGCATGGCAGAGTGGGCAGGAACACCCACGTGAGAAACCTTGCTGAAGTGGTGTTTCTCATCTGGAAAGCGCTTTGTGAAGTGGTGGGGCGGTTTTATAGCTGTTTTCTGAAGCTGCTCTTACTTCTAGTTCATGCTTCAGCACCCACCCTCCCTTGTTTCCATAACCAAGGGCCCTGAGCAGGAATTCGGCATGCAGCACCTCAACTGGCTGCAGATCTTCTGCTTGAAGTTTGCAGAACAAAAATTTATGGTTTCTGTATGTTATTTTGTAGACAATTATTTGCTTTCTCAGCTCCACCTGTCTCTGTGAATGACTTCAGTGTTGCCTCTCTACGTGCAGTCCCATTTAAACCAGGCCCTGCTACATCAAATGATCGGTTCTGTTGTGCAAACCCGGCAGAAGCCTTGCTGCACTGTGTTTGTAGTCATTACCTCAAGAGCAGCATCACCTGTATCAAACCTGCTCTGGAAGTTGGGACTCTTAACAAAGTCCACAGTCAAATTTCCAAGGGCAGCCTTGTGTTTTGAGTGCGCAGGGAACACGTGGCACCCAAAGCCCCGCAGTGCCATGCCGCTGCTCCCTTTGTGTGCAGAATTGAGAAAGCTTTTTGTGAATGCGGTCGCTGTACGCTGGTCTGACCAAAAATCGTTCTTCAGAAGTGGCGTTCAAGTGCAATGTTTCTGTCCCCAGGCAATCGCACACTATGAGCAGGCTGCAGACTATTACAAAGGAGAGGAGTCGAACAGGCAAGTGGTCTTTTGGAAAAGAGTCACAGTGGGGGAGGGCTGGGGTTTGTCCTAAATGCCCTGCACGCTTGCACACCTTGCCTGCTGGCCTCCTCTAAAACGTCATTGGTGGGACACCCAAGTCCTGCTCGGATTTCTGTTTCGGGTTCCCATTCAGGCTTAGCTGGGTGCAGACAAAACACATAGGGATTGAACGGTGTCTGATGCCAGGCCCATGCTGAGCTGCAGGTCTTTGTGCCTTTCCGTGTGTTTTAATTTTGTTTCAAAAATTCCCCTAATTTGCAGCTTCCAAGTCCCACTTTTCGATATGCTAATTGGAGCAGGTAGTGCTTGGAGGTACAAGTGCACGGATGTGTTTTTCCCCAGGACACAATGACTTATTTTAACGCTGTAATTGGTTGTAGCTCAGCCAACAAGTGTCTGCTGAAGGTGGCTGCCTATGCCGCACAGCTGGAGCAGTACCAGAAGGCGATAGAGATCTATGAGCAGGTGAGGGTATGCGCATCATCTGGTGGTGTAAAAATGTCTTGATAATGAAAAGCACGTCGGTGGGTCGGTCTCACAAAACTGCCATGGCCAAGAAGTTCCAAACTTTATTTATTTCAGGACTGATTATGCCTTTACAGGACATTCAAAAGTTGCTTTAATTTACCAAAGGCAGTTTTTCCCCTGAATTCTGTTGTTGCTAGAGAGAGGCTGGGGGAAGCAGGTGAAAGCAAATCTATAATTACGCTTTTGATTATATTGACATAGATGTTTGGCAGAAAATTTCCCCCCAAATTTGTAAACTTGATTGCTCTGCCTTTGCACCAGCTGTTTACCTGGGAATACTTGCAGTGCTGCCTTTGTGCTTCTGGAGGGTTAATACTGGAGCAGGTTTTCACCAAGTCACTCATTTTCCCCTTTCTGTGTCAGACAGGATGTACTGAGGTACCAGTGTGGCACCTCTGACCTGGGGCAGCGGCTCCTGGGGCAGATGGGCTGCATGGGTGCACGCCCACAGCTGCCTGTGGACCTCTGAATTCACTTGGGATCAGTCAAAAACCTGTCTGGCTTCCCAATAGCTTTGTGTACGAATGCTAGTGTGGTACTGCGTGTGACTTAAATCAGCTGTCCTGGTTTTAGTTCAGTTCTTGGTGATGCATTTTTCTTTCCCAACTCCAACAGTATATTTTTTGTGCCCAGGTCGGAACAAACACGATGGACAACCCTTTGCTCAAGTACAGCGCGAAAGAGTATTTCTTCAAAGCTGCCCTGTGCCATTTCATTGTGGATGAGCTGAATGCGAAGGTCGGTGGGCTCGGAGCAGTGGTCCCAAACTTTGTGTCCCTCTGAATCAACCTTTGACGGCTGAGATGCGCTCCTGCGTGCGCGGGGGCTTGCATGGCTGTTGCACAGACTGAAGCTTGAAGTGCCCTGGTGTCAAATTCGGTTTGCTGTGAATGCTTTCCCAAGTGATCTGTGCGGTTTTAGGACTGGAAGGCAAAAACTGAAGTAAAAAGCGAGTGGTTTTGTGTGAAATGAGTTGAAGGGCTGTCTTCTCTCTTTCAGCTTGCACTTGAGAAGTATGAAGAGATGTTCCCAGCGTTCACAGATTCACGGGAGTGCAAGCTATTGAAAGTGAGTAAAGCCAGAATTAAAAGAATAATCACGCTTGAGAATGTGTGCTGCCCTTTACTTTGTGCTTTTTCACCTTGCTATGGGTTTGGTCTTTTATTTGAACATTTTCAAGGCCATCAGACTCTTTGCTTTGGGTTTATACCCGAAGTAGCTGCAGTGGAAATATGATCATTCTAGCTGACTTAAAAAAACCCCAAGCTATTTCTGTGTTCATGGTGGGTGGTTGTGAAGGTGCTGCTGCTGGACACATGGGTGCAAAGGTCCCCTCCCTCCTGGGGACTAGATGCCCGTGCACCACCCCTGCGGGAACACCCAGAAACAGAGTATCTCTGATTTTTGATGATGTTTTCCTAGAAACTGCTGGAAGCCCACGAGGAGCAAAACAGCGAGGCGTACACCGAGGCAGTAAGTAGTGAGGAATTTGCTACGGTGTGCTTGTGGATGGGGGCTTTTTCCTTTGTTACCTTTTTTTGGGTAACTGGTTGCCCAGGCTCTGAGTGCTGTGACTGAGTCCAGCGAGGCAAACCCCCAGGCACTTCACTGCGTAACCATCCTGCCACGAAATGACCTGCAGAGATGGACTTTTTAGCAGAGCTGCTTCCAGCCCATGCTCCAGTAATTCCCAAACTTCATACTTTAAACTTACGAGTTTATCGTTGAGAGTGAAGTGAAGATCCTGCCTGGTTTTGCTCCAGCTCCTTTTGATGTTTGATAGCGGCTTAAAGTTCTCTGTGTGTTTTTGGATAGATATGTATCTTAAAATTTAATTTAATGCTTTTCTCTGGGAAGAGTTTAAGTTTTGAAAGACTGCACTTCAAGAGCTGCAGGATGCCGCTTCTGCAGCGGTCTTGTTTGCTTTCTAGTATCTTAAACTGTTTTGTTTGTTTGTTTTCTAATAGGTTAAAGAATTCGATTCAATCTCGCGGTTGGATCAGTGGCTTACGACCATGTTGCTGCGCATCAAAAAGTCAATCCAAGGAGAAGGGGATGGAGACCTGAAGTGAATCGGGGGTGGTGTTTGCGGCATGCAGCCTAAGTACCGGTTCTTGTGCTACAGCCAAGGACCACCATGGGATACACGATCACGTCTCTTGCTTTATTTTGTTGCTTACAAATCCAACAACTCGTGTGTTTCTTTAGTATCCTGCTCTTTGTCGTGACAACGTGGGTAGGGGGGAAGTGATGCTCTGGGTGGCACTGGCAGGTCTTTTGGACAGAAACCCTTTCTTGGTTTGGTTAACTGTGACCCCAACCTCTGCACTTGCACTTCCTGTTTCCCTCCACTGTTCTGTCTTAGGGCTCAGTCCCGTTGGTTCCAGCATGTAAATATTTTGTCCACGCCTGTACGGTACAAATAATTGCTTCTGCTCTGTTGCTGTGGTGTTACCATTTCTGTTCCTGAACGGATCTGTCAGATACACTTGGACCTTGGTTGGTTTTGTTTTTTTCAAATGATGGAGCTTTTTTAATGGTGCTAGTGAAAGGCTTTGTGGCTCTTCTATACAGTATGCATGTGTGTATACATCCTATACAGATACATGTGTGCACGTATACATACAGAATACATAACGCCCTAGAGCTGACAGCGTTTCATGCTGGGGAACAGGACTGCGTGGCTTGGTGTCAGCCCTTGCGAGTAGACATAGTTAACGGTGTATTTTGTATTTCAGATCTAAATATAAAATGTAAGGTTCTTCTATATTTTCTTGGATCTATTTTTACACTTAGTTTATTTTGTGGTGCATCCCATCCCTCTTGGCTCAGTCCCTCTTGACCCCAGTAATAATCTATTTTTCTACCTTTTCATTGCTGTGAACTCCTGCTGCTGTCTCTACTGCAGGTCTTTGGTGTGCGCTGGGCAGTATCCATCAGTTTCTGACCTCTCTGCTGCTGGTGAAGCTGCTGACTGAGTCTCAGTGTTGTACAGAAACCTTGCTTTATTTGTCTGGGTGACGGGTGAATCCAGCTTGGAGAGGTGTTGACATGTTTCAAAATTCCTGCAGTCACTTTAGAAATGTGTTTTAAAACGTCTGCACCCTCAGCCTTGCTGTGCGATGCTTTGTTTAACTACAGATGATTAAGCTACCCACTAATTCACGTGTGTATATTAAGAATGGAGCCTATGCAATCTGTCAGGAGGAGCTGTCACTGGGTATTTCTCTGGAATGAAGTGATTTTCAGCTACACTGCTGACAGGTAAAGAATGAAAGAGGTATTAATGGCTTTATTTGGCACAGCTGCTATGTAAGCAGGCCCTTGGTGGAAGTAATGTCGTAGGAGCCCATGGCTGTGGTGGCTGCTGCGTGTTCTTTCTCTTGATGAAGCAATTGTCTTTGCTCATATTCTGGCAGCCAAAAAGGTGGTTTTTAATCTAGGTATCTTTTTTTGAGTAGAACAGGTTAGCTTATTGGTCTCTGAGGGATTGAGTTCTCTTTAGATGGCACTTTGCCACTGGCTTATGAAAAAGAAAACAAAAAAACTGCTACCTGGTACATGCCAAATGATTTTTTTGGTTTGTTTTCATGACTGAACTCACAGTTCACTTTTTTCTGTAAATTATACTGTGCATTGTCACTTGATAGAAATGAGCTGTGCAGAATGGGCAAGGGAAGCGCATTAAAAAAGCGTAGATGGACAATGCTTGTTCTTCCCAGCAATTTCAGTTTCTTTGCTTCAAAAGAAACTTAAAAAAAATTATTTAACTTGGACCACTATGTTTATGTCTGTCTGTCCCACAAGCTGGGCAAAGAGATATTTTAAATTTGGTTTAGTGGCCTGTCTCCACCTGAGATGCCCACCCCAGCTCATCAGAAAGGACCAAGGGACATTTTCCAAGGCCCTCCTGTTCCTGTACCAAAGTCCCTCATGTGCTTGTGCCAGCTCTGCTGGGCAGAGAAGATACTGGGCTCAGGCCACAGCTGGCAGGGTAGGTAGGTAACCTGACAGCTAAAGCTGGGTTAACTGCAGACTTGCTCTCATTTTGGGCAAGAGGACCCAAAGCTATAAATGCTGCTGAATGTATCCCTGTGTTACAAGGATGGAGTTGGAACAATTTTTGTTTAATTTACCCATTTCCTTAGTGAGCAGAGGCTCACTGTGTTGAGGGTCCAGCACCACTGGAGCCGTGGTGAGGGGAAGTGCAGGCTGGGAGGTTTATCCCAGCATCACACAGAACCAAGGCAAGTATTTGCCTTTTTTTTTTGGTTCCCTTTTTTCCAGCTGTCAGTATTATGCACATGGAGCCAGTGGACCAGAATGCCATAGTCATGGGGCTGTGGGGTCTGTTACTGGGCTCTGAAGTAATACTATTACAATCCAACAGTTAGTTCAGTGTAAGTAGGCTACAGCATGTCCTCCAGTGTAGCGGTGGTCAGTTGTGACAGTTTGAAGATGACAATCTGCCACTCTGCTGTATTCCCCCCAGTACACAATTATGTTGTATGAAAACTTATTAATGAAATGGCCTTAGCAAGAGTATAATGTTTTGTGTGTCTCTGTACATTAATAAAGTGAAAATAATTAGTGTGAGGAGTGAGAAATGTTCTTTCCTGGAAAGTGCAGAAGGCAGGCTCCATGCTACAACCATGAAATCACTGCAAGGGTCAGTCTTAACATTTCAGTATTTTAATAAGAACAATTCATACAAGTAACTCACTCCTGTACATTCATTGAGTACAAAAGCTTCCCTGGCTACAGGTACTAATGCTCAGACCTTAAATATATCTACAACCTCTTTACATTGGTCAGTGGGAATACTGAGCTTCAACAGGAACATCGTGCTTGAATAAATATTTCAAATATAACCTCTTGGAAATGTTATCTTTAAAAAAATTCCCTTTCTATAGATTAAGTTACGATTCCACGGTAACGCATCAGACATCCCTTTTAGGTTCAAAAATAGCTCTGTGCTGCAGCTGGGATATCTTTATTGCTCTGCCACCCCCTAAGCCTTCGGCTCGATTGTGCTTACCTTTACACTAATGTCATCGGTCAGAAAGTTTCTGTGGAAGTACTCTATGTTAATATTAAAAAAAAAAAAAAAGAAAGAGAGAAACAGGAAAATTAATTAGAAAAAGCTCCAGATTTTCACACGGTGGCACTGGGATTCTGGTCCTGAGTTTGAAGCATTAACCACACCAGTGAGTTGCTGTTGATTCACATCTGCTCCCAACACCAAGAGCCACCCCAGTCAGGTGCTTCTTTGTCAGTGCCAGCCATTTCAAAGATCTCTTCCCTGCACAGGGAAAATATCCCAAATCCTCCCATGTGTTCCTGTGAGGTTAAGCTGAAGGCAACCACTGTAATCTCATTCCAGCCCAGTTTTGGTGCTAGCAAATACAGAAAATGCTTACCCTGAACAGAAATCTTTTTGGGTTTCTCTCTGTAACAGCTATCCCAGCTGCTGGCTGTGATGGGGGAGAACACAGGCTGTGCTTGCTGGGGGAGAGAGCGAGGAAAGATCTGGCTGGCTTGGTGAGAAACGCCCAAATAAGAGTGAGATTCTCCTTATGACTGGCAGCACTGGCACCCAAACCCCGTGGGTGTTGGAGCAGGCTGGGTGAAGTTGCAGGTTTGGAATGTGGGCTGAGCAGAAGTCACACAAGAGACCTTTAGTCCCTCTGCTCACTTTGTCACACTTCCTTATTCAAAACAAACAAAAAAAAGGCACATTGCCAGGGTTAGTCTACTAAAATTCAGCAGCAGATGCTAATTGGAAAAAAAACCTAAGTTTACTCATCTCTTACGTTCTTAAGGCCCTGCCTTTTAACACCGCACCGGGGAGATTTGCACAGACACCAGCCTAAAACTGCTGCTCAGTGTTGTACAGACAAAGTGGTCACAATATGGGCAATAAACACCTAAATCCCTCAAACAGTCCTATATATTTTTCACTCACTTTCATCTGTTTATGCCATCAGTGATACAAACCCTGACTGCTTCCTATTTGTAACTGAATTTTCCTATGGAGACTCCAGTGCTGATGGAATTGGCTATAGCAACTTGACAGCAAAAGAGTAATTAACTTTTACTTACTCGAGTATTACTTCACTTAAAAAGTAGGTCTGCAGTTCAGAGCAACAGAGATGTTCAAAAGAGCATCACTGCCCCATTTGGACCAGCAGAAATTACCTTTAACAGGAAAATGGCAATAAGGTGTCTTTCTACCTCAGCTTTTCCAGCATAGCTGAAGCACTACTTTTCATGACCGTTTCTACAAGAGCTGTTTTGGTCTCTTAATTGCCATGTCACACAAGCTGGAGCAGCCAGAAGATGAAGACTGACTGAATGCAAGCGTCAAACTGTGCCAGGTTTCACTAAAATGTAAAAATAATACAGACCTGGCATTAGGCTCTCACTTGCCTGCTTTGCAACCAGAGAATCCAAACCCCTGGAATGCAACTCTGCATCTTTGTGAAGCTTGCTCCCACCCACGCTCCCAAGGAGTGAGCTGGCTCACTGCTTGGATCTTTGGCAAAAGCAGAGAGAAACCAACGTTTCCTGAAAAGCAATTTAGTAAAACTTAACTTATGTATGAATTTCCACTAGGAAAAATGCAAATTAACTTCCCTAAGCTACTAGGCTGAGAAACACAGCATCATTTCTCTTGATTGTGCTCATGTCATCAAATTCACTGGAAATCAAACTCCCACCTTCCTTACGACCTCTCTGAATGTAGGTACTTGCTTTCACTGTGGGCCAGCTGGAGCAAAAAAGCTGGACTGCAGCCTTTTATTTGCAGGGAATAAAGTCACTGGGACTTCTGCCTCCTCCACCACCACCCTGCCATGGTGTTACTTTGCCCTACCTTCAGGGGATGGAGCCGGACACGTTGGAGGCAGAGAATGACATTTTTGAGTAAATTCTGGAAATCCAGTGCATGTCTTTCATGTCCAGCCCTGCTTCCTTGTTCTGGCTTCTCCTGGTTCCCTCAGTAGGTTGTTGGCAAAGTCAAAGGACTATACAGAGGGTGCAGCTTAAACTGTAAATAACCAAATTATTCCATATTCAC